CGGTATACTTGTATCTGAGATGATGCACTCCATCTAAATCGAATCTTTGCAGCAAAAAGTGTAGATGCGACGACTTTGAGGTTTCTCCGTTTTTCCAGAGTTTCTGCTGATAGATCTGGAAGAACTTGTACCTTTTTTCCTTTATATTTCAAAGAGCCGTGGATTCTGGCTTCCTTTAATATTTTATCTCGTGTTCTTGGGTGCAAGAATTGGGCCAAGATGTCCCGAGGTCGTCCTTTTCTAATTGATGCCAGTGGACCCAATCTGTATGCTTTTGTAATAACCGGTGCAACACCGTCCTCCAAATCCAGGGCCGAGGAAAGCCACGATGACATGAAGCTCAAGAGGTTTGTTCTTTCTTCTTCGCCCTCCTCTATCCCTCGAAACTTGAGGTTGTACTGGCGCCAGCGGTTTTCCAGTGTTGTCAGCCTGATAGTTGTTAATTTTTCTGATGCTCTTAAGGCTTTTACTTCTTCTTGCAGACTTAATACAGCTTCAGCCGTTGTTTCAGCTATCCGTGCTGTGTCTTGCAGGTCTGTAGTTAGCTCCGCTAGGTGTGTTTGCATAGGTTTCATCAGATCAGTGACCATAGAAGACAGAGATTTTAATAAATCTTCCTTTAGTTCTTTCAAGTCATTTTTAGTTAGTGGGTCCAAGGCGTCTGAATTATTCTGTGAGTCGTTCTTTCCTCCGGTCGCCATTTTGTCTTCTATCTCTGTAGCGTTTTTTCTATTAGGTGTTGTAGAGTTTTGCTGGAAAAAAGTCTGTACAGACGAGGTTGGAGATGATTTCTGAGTCGGCTTTGTTTTCGTCTGCTTTCCCATCTCTTTTTTTCCAGTTTTTTTCATGTGTAAGTGATTTTTATTCGGTATGAGGAGAGGAGGCTAGAGGAGCAGCTCTAAGACGCGTCCGCCATTGCTCGCGTCGCTCCGCCCCCCCAACAATAAACTTTTTAACACAAATTGTGTCACTGATTCATATGTATTTCCCATGTACTAACATACACAGTTCTGAAAAGCAAACTGTTTCTTTGAATCAGAATGATCTACCAACAGAGGGCAGCAAAGTCTTATGACATTTGTTCATTTACAATATTTAATGGAGCCAGAAATATCACCCCTATGCAAAGATCCCTTACCTCAGCATAGCTGTAACTCACTACATGGTTTATTATCCTGGGAACTTCAGAAAAGGCATTGAGAAGTATGTTCTTTTCTAGGGTCCCTCTCTACAGTTTACTGTACACAAGGCATTTTAAAGGATTTTCTTTACTAGGTATTGTACAAGTATCCTGCACTTACATAAGTCCCCTAGTTGTATCCTGTAAAAATAAATAAATAAATAAATAAATAAATATAGCTTTAAAAATTCTGTCTCATCAGGCGCTCTCAAACCATTCACTGAGCTCCTATACTCGACATTTTAACAGTTTTGTACCTAGATTTCATGGAATGTTGAACTATTACCAGTAGATTCCAAAATATACATTATACACCTGTAGTGTTAGCCTTCTTAGCTTTCTCTTTGGAAAATTTAGCTCCTTTAAAAGACACATTTATACACAGTAAGGGATTTTAAACCAGGAAGATGTTTGAATTAGTGATGTGGGGCAGACAATCTGAGTCAATGTCATGCAGCCTAAACCTCACAAGATGAAGGTGAGATACAAGCTAATCATAGGTTGTGTTCAGACTGGCAGTTTGGCTCGATATAGGCACATTTTATAAACGGATTAAACGGGCCCGATCAGACAGCCACATCTGTCAGGTGCTCCCCGGGCGTACTCACATCGTCAGAGGACAACTTGGAGCTGGGTTAAAAAGCCACCACTTCCGAAGTGGTGTTTTTGTTTCCCTGTGCATTCATTGCACATGGCTGGATGTCTGAACATGGGGGAGCACGCGCAGAATGGATTTGGCAGTCTGAACCTGCAGATCCATTCTGCCGCTACAAAGGCGTTTTTTTTAAAAAAAGAACTGCCTATGTGTGTATGTGTGTGCATGTGCACTATGCACAAACATGGTTTTTGGATTTTTTTTTGCAGCTCACTCCATGGCTGAGGCGCCACAATAATGTGGATGCTTTACCATGAGATGTCTCCATGGGTAACTCACAGCAGGGTGTGCTGTGTGGCTGATATATCCCACTATACTTTAACACGGTTCAATTAGAGGCGGCACCATATCGCGCCAAGCCGCCAGTGTGATCACAGCCATACACCAAAAACAATATTATAATAAAATAAAACACACCATTTGATTTTTCATAGTTACTTTCTAACTTTTCAAACCCAAGGGTAGGAAGGCTAGCTTGCCACCCCTTTACAACAAACCTTAAAAGCCTAGTCCCAACAGATGAGAGCATTTCTCCCCCTCCAAATTCCACCTCTCTCCCAGTGAGAGCTATGTGTGTGTATCTGATGTTTTTGGACAGGTTATCTGTGAGTGGATGGGTTCTGGGCAGGAAATTTGTGATCAGTTCCACACACAGAGCTCTCACTGGGAGAGAGCTTTGTGCATCTATGTATGCATTGAGAGACGAGGGCTTTCCTATTCAGTTCCCTCAGTCTACCATATGGACCTCCCTCAAAAGACAGAGACAGGTTGTGTGCCTGCACAATGACAATTAAAAGTTAATCAGTTACAGGTAAGCAAGTTGTTTTCTTTGTGGTCCCTCTGAAGTCTCACATGTGGGATGACCTGCATATGAGTACTATGAATACAATACAGCCTAGCTAAAATGCCATGTTGGATCATACCTCACCAGCAAGGACATACTAAGACTCTCTCTAGTATAGTTACTTTAAGGATTTTTTAAAAGACTGCACATTCCATCTGGCATCAGACATACATTGATCAATTCTTCGTTGTTATGTTTTCAGTTGGATGGCCTTCATTTTTAATTTCTTATTTCCAGCATTTTAAGAGTGCAAAGCCTATACTAGTCACACCCTGTGCTCACTGAAGTCAACACTGAACATACATCAAGATAATGGCTTGAGAGATACCCCCCACACCTGTGCCCTTAGAATCTAGCCCAACAGTTCTGGAGAACTCTAGTGTGTTACTCTGGTTGATCTTAATCTTTTGTTTTTGGTTTGCTCACATTGCAGTCCTCTGCTGTATATGCGCACCCCTTTAAAAAAGAAGAACACATGGATATTGCTAGACTTCACCATAGGGGTGTGCAAAAAATTCATCCCCCCCCCCGATTCAGATCTATTGAACGCCAAAAATATTGGTATTCCCCAATATTCCTGAATACCAGTATCAGTATTGTATTGGTATTTGGGTAAACAGTCAGGAACCCCAAATTTATTCAGCATTATACATGATGGGGACCATCTCTGTAGAGTATAATGGAAAATTTCACTCGCCAAGTTGTGTGGTGGCGGCAGCACGACTTGGCAAGTTCAGAAGGCATTTAACTTTAAATGCATTCAGTTCACTTGGTGAATCGCACCAAGTTGTGCCAGTGGCACAACTCAGCGAGTAAACTCAGAAGGCATTTTAAAAGACTGTGGTCTCTTTAAATGCCTTCTAGCCGCACCCAAATAAAAGCTGAATAATATTGGCTTTTATTTGGGTGTTGCTATTCTGGTAGCTGAATCAGATTGTCTAATCTGTATTCGGCTTAATAAATACCCGAAAAATACCAATAGGCTCGGTATGTACCAAGCACACACCCCTACTTGACCAAGAGCATTCTCCCTTTAGTAAAGCATACTGTGCTAACCAGAAGGAGATAAAGACAACCCCCTTGGATAAGTGTTGAGTGGAAACCATGAGCCTGCAGATTAGGGAAGAAAATGGAAGATTTGTATTCACTTACCGTGAAGCTTCCTTCTCGGTGGTCCAGAGTGGGACAGTCCTTGACTCTTTAATCCTGGGAAAGCACCTCCCCCTTCCGTAGGCAGGACCGGCAAACTTTGATCCCAGAAGGGAGGGGCTTATCCTCCGATCCCCAGCTGATCCCCAACTGACCACCGAAAGCCACCTCTGAGCTGCTGTAAACTCACTTAAAAATAACTCCTTCCCCCTCAGACAACTGGGGAATACCATCACAGCCATGGGCTTAATCAAATACAAACCTGTATTTTAACCATTAGAGAAAACAAACAGCAACAGTCCACCACATCACGTAATCAGTTAGACCATATTCATGAACAACTGAACCACTGTAAAACCTCATGTCCAACTCCAGGTCCCGAGGACCGGAAGTCGTGTCCATCAAGAGAGGGTGGGTAGGACTGCCCCACTCTGGACCACCGAGAAGGAAGCTTCACGGTAAGTGAATACAAATCT